TAGTTAATAACGCTACGGAAAGTTTTAAAGAAAACCAGGAATAGTAAGCATCAGAATGGATACTGCTTAAAAGTAGACCATTATAGAGAGAAATAGTCTTCAAACTCTTTTGATTGTGTACCGCATAAAAGAATTTTGAAAACTTTAGCTACCTCCTTGAACATTTTTAACTTGACATCTAACACTTTTCATCAAAAATATAAATGAGTTGTTTTATGAATAAAAGAATACATTAAACATTTTATAAGATGAAATAAGAGGAGAAATGATTACAATTAGAGTAAACATTTCATGACAAGATTTGATTTTAATAGAGGTTTGAACCACCTTATTGCAAAATTCATATCTAATCTAGACATAACCACATAATTTTTTATCTGAGAATTTTATCAAATATATCTTGAAACTGGGAAAATATCCCAGCTTCACTTCAAAGAACTGGTTCCCTAACCTGCTCTGTTGCTCTGAATTCAGAACATTCCAGCCCTGGTCAACCTTCACCTATAATAAAAACACACACAACAGGCCAGGAAAGGCAGGAAAACCAGAGCTAGGTGAATGTATTAATCATTAACAACCTGATACTTGGAATTATCCCTTTGTTGACAAGCTGGAGGTATTTACTCTAGACATCGGCTCACAAAAAGGTGTGCATGCCTTTCTTTTTTTAAGAAATGGGAAGAGGAAAAATGTGGACATCGGCATATTTTCAGGCAATTTTAAGAAATAATTTGGAACTTACAGAAGTTGGAGAAGAGCTTGAGATATGTGTCGGTGTGCTTCCACCAGGGAGAAAGCAAAGTAAAAGATTCAAGGATGAAGTCAGCAGAAACTGGAAGATAGGTAACAAGGTTCTAGCATACAGATAAATAGATGAGGGATTCTTAACAAATAGAGAAGAATCATTAATTAAAAAAAAAATTGAAAGAAATTCCAAGACCACTAGCCAAAAATCAAATTACTCATGATATTCAAGGCAACATCAAATTGAAAGTGATTCACACCTTGAACTTCTTGGTGAAAGTATCGAGTTTCAGGGAAAAGAGAGAACCCTATCACACCTACCTACATACACCTGTCCTACAAAAATTAGTTGGCTAACCAGTTGGCTAATCCTTATTGCATTAGATACCAGAAGAGACTCGCAGGAAGTCAATAGTGATTGGAAATTTTTGTGAAACAAAAATTTTCCTGGCTAACTTAATATTTTAATGTATTTAGGCTCCATAATGATAGCGTGGCATATTAAGAAAGAAATTCTCTGCTATTCTGGAACTCAGAGGATTATCCAAATACTTTTCCAAAATAATCTCCACTGGAATATTATGAGGAGAAAAAGAAGGAGGAAGAGGGAGGTCATAAAAAAAAAAGTCGGTGGCCAGAACTAGGTTAAGGAAAAAGTGAGAGGTGCCCAGGACGTGACAAAGAAGGGATGCTCACTCTCCTGGGCCAATTCTGTGCTTGCCCAAGCCTGAGAAAGAATGTCTCCTTAAATTTTGGGCACCTGGCCTGCCTCACCCTAGGGGACCTTGAAGTACATCCAAATCACAGTGACAATTGCGATACTTAACAGAATATAATTCTGGTATGGAAAGGACTTAATGCAACCCTAATACATTAACTGCCACAAGTTAGACACAAATTCAGAGAACAGTAATGAAACCAAGGGGACTGTATTTGGGTGCGATGTCCGGGTGTCTCAGTGACTAGTTTCCTCATGCATATCTGGTAGGAGTCAACAGATGCTTGTTTTACTCCATGAGTTACTCCCTTAAGAAATAAAGCATTAAGAAAACAATGAATTTGGGGGCTCAACACAGCAAAATGTAATCTTCCTACCAAGGCGGACTTAGAGGAGAAGTCCTTGGAGGCTTAAGTTCTCTCCATGATTAAATAAAGGTAAATGAAAATAAACGAATTAAGTATTCAAAACAAAATTTATGAGAAGTAAAACAAAAGGAAATAGGAAGTAAGACTGATAAAAGATAAAGCCAACAGATTCTAAAATAAAAAGACAACTATCTTTGGGGTGCCTGGGTGGCTCAGTCAATTAAGTGTCCCACCCTTGATTTTGGCTCAGGTCATGATCTCAGGGTCATGAGATCGAGCTGCATGTCAGGCTCCTCACTCAGAGGGAAGTCTGCTTGAGATTCTCTCTCTCCCTCTCCCTCTGCCCCTCTCGTCCCTAAATAATAAATAAAGAAATCTTAAAAAAAAAAAAGACAACTATCTTTAAAATAAATAAATCACTAAGTTGTCTAATGAAGAAGCAGAAAGAAAGCACCCATGCCTCATGTCAGAGTCCCAAAGAAGCTCACACCTCAGATACAGAAAAAATGAATATATTATTAAAAAGATAATTTGATAAAACATTTGAATATCTTGCAAATATGTTTTCAATTATGTATAAAATGAATGATCCTCCAAGATAACATAAATTGTCAAAACTGATGGAAGTATACACAGAACCCCTTCACAGGCCCATAACCATGAAGGAAACTGAGAAAGTTATCCAAAGAGTCTCCTCACAATGGCTTTGCGCCTACATAGTTTTACAAGCAATGCTTTCAAGCCCTCAGATAATAAAAGCAATAATACAATTTCCATTCTATTTTTTTCCAGATTATTGGGCACTAAAGAGTTCTTCATTCTTTTCTTAAAATCAGCATAAGCTTCATATCCAGACATGACACGTGTGCATTCAGAACCAATGCCATATATCAATAGGACAGCCATGTCCTAAATAAACTAGTAGTGAGTCAAACCCGATGGTATCGAAAGAATACTCAAGGTACAGTTTGCTCAACATGAAGACATATATTCATATAATTCATACTATTTAAGTCAAAAGAGAAAAAGCAGCTCATATCATTGTTAGATAGATGTAGATAAACGATTTGAGAAAAGTGAATTAATTCACATGACTTAATGTTAGAAAAAGCTTTTTAGGGAAGGGGGTTGGCTGGAGATGCTTGGGATCAACTCACAGCTGCACCTACTCTGAAGCCCCTGGGAGCCGTAAATGGTAACCCTTCTTCAAACCATCAGATGGGGAACAGTAACTACAGCGTCCCTGACGCAGAGATGTTGTCTGTCAGGAATCAATCGTAGCAGCTGCTCTAAAACCCTGGACGTACAGGACCACTGCTCTTACCTTCGAGCCAACGGATGCTTCCAGGGGCATGCGTGGGAAGCCTGAGCTCATTCATGTTGCTGTTTAGGAACTTGGACTGTGATCCAAAAGCTGACAGCATCAATTGCCCAGCTGCTTTCCCTTCTGCTCTGATGCTGGAGGGTCCCGCGGAGGAGGAGGAGGGGGGCAGCCAGGAAGAACGTGAAAGGGGCTCCTTCCTACCTGCTCCATTGATCAGACCTAAGCCCAAGACAGAAGAGAGGCTTTGAGACGAATGAGACATTGGATTTGTTTTCAGTAAATGTTTTACTTTTTACCTACATAAATGTCCACTTTCCACAGAGTGAAAGCACCATGTGACTAGCACCCAAGTCATAGGAGATGCCAGCGCCCAGGAGCCTCCATTACATCCCCCATCCCGTCACTGCTACCACCTCCACCCGAGGGGAAGCCCTAACTTGATTTTTAATAGGATAAACTAGTTTTGTCTGTTTTGAAAACCTTTCCTTAAGTGTTCGAAAGAAGATATTGTTCGTCTTTTTTCACTCAATACTGCATCTATGAGATCCATGATTGCTGGGGTGTCCTTACTCGCCTTGCTTTGTGAATAGACCATTACTGATTTACTCATTCTTCTCTTGACAGACAATTGGGTTGTTTCCCGTTGGGCTACTGCGAACGTTGTTGCACATCTTGTTCTGAATGTGTAGGGACGTTTCTAAGTGAAGTGTCTGTCACTGGAATGCCTACATTTGGCTTTAGGGGACGTTGCCAAGCAGCTTCCAGAGGTTCTAACTGGCACTCGTGAGCAGTGAGTGAGAGTATAAGTTGCTCCACACCCTTGCCAATCTTTGTTTCCGTCTTCTCTCACTTTCTCTGTCCATTCTGTTGAAGTGCGTGGTGCTATCTCGCGGTGGTTTTGATTTTCATTTCTCTAATGTCTAGTGAAGTTGACCACCTTTTATATCTTTAGGTCACTTAGAATTTCTCTTTCATGAAGTCCCTTTTCGAGACATTGGCCCATGTTTCTGTTGGGTTGTCTGCCATTTTTTATTCTTTTTTTCCTGTATTTAATTTGCCCATCCATTTTACGACTCTTCTCTTTTTCTCTTCTTTTCGTTTTCTACAAACTCCCCTTCTTTTCTATATTGTAAATACCCAGAGGACAGAGCCAGAGTGTTCTCATCTTAACATCATCCTCAGAGCCTGGCCATCTGTTTTCTTTGAAACACCTGCTAAAAAATACCTGTTGATATGCGTTAGGAGATTCTTTTCCATCCCGGTGGTTCTGTGGGGCTTTTAAAGATGGCAGGAATTTCTCTTCTAGAACAGTTGCGGCAAAACCAGCGTCAGCTCTGTGTATGAGCTCTCACAGCCTAGAGGATGTGTTTTAAGAAGTAGGAACCACAATGAATTCCTGTTGGAGACAGTGATGACTATCTGAGTCCTGGGAAAATAAGAAGAAGGTCAAACGATCTTTTTCAATCCCGAAAAAGGAACTTCTATGGTATGTGAAGTCATTCTATGTTTTCTTCCATCTTGTTATACCTTCAGTATTCTTCTCCTTATAAATCATCATTTCATTTGGATCATCTGTTGCCTCCCTTCAATTTTCATTACATGGTCCAAACTATCTCCTTATACTTTCTGAAAGTGCCCATCTTGCCTCCCCTTGAGCCTTTCAATTCTGTCTTTTCTCTCCCTTGATTTCTAGTTAACCTCATTCATTTACTCTCTGCCTGGCCATTTCCTGGTCATTAATTCCCTGGAATCTAGCTAAGGATAAGTAGATATCTGTTTCAGCTGACAGAAATAATCCTCATCTAAATAATTTGAAAATGGTCTATTTTAATTTTAACATGTGAATTTTAATAGAATTTAGCCACATAAATAAACATCCATGTTTCACACAATGTATACAAATAATAAAAAAGTTAATTCTGTGGATTACAGCCTTAAATTTCTGTTCCATGCTGAGCTCTATAACGCATGACTACAGCTCCTAGCAGGTCTTCTCTGTGTCCATAATCACCCCCATGAAGGTACTTATCAGTGATTATTTTCACATAGATTTTTATTCATCCAGTACTTTCCAAAGAGGAAACTTCAAAGGCAACCGGAATTGGCGTTTCCAGTGTGTCCGGCAGCTGTCGACCCTGGCTGCATGCTAGAAACCCTGCTGCGTGTCTAACAACCTGTGGCACCCTGGCTCTCCCTCAGACCAGTTCATTCAGAGTCTCTGCGGGCGGCCCCATCATCCGTGTGGTTTAGAGACTCCCCAGGAAATCCAACACGCAGCCAGAGTTGAGAACCGCTGAGCCTATGGCCAAGAATATGAAGAATGATGACACGTAAAAAACGTCGCAAAAGTTAACGGTCAGCACTGCATTTCAGTTTGTAATTCAGTATCCTCAGAGGCGGGTGAGGGTCTTCTCTTTGGCCCAGTCCTGGATTTCTACTTGTCCAAATGTGATGTAAAAAAACATGCCAAACATGTTGACGGCAGCAGACAGGAAAAAGACATTCCTCCATCCAGACACAGAATCCTGGAGGCAGAAAACACAGAACTATCAGTCTCACGGCTCCTTCCCCACCAGCTCTAGAAATCCTCCATTTTGTGTATCGCAATATTGATCTCCACATATAGCAGGAGTGATCTGCAATAGCCACTAAACATCTTAACTTATCAAAGAAAGTTTTATGAAATTGTTGGAGACAGAATGACTCTAAAATGAACATTGGGTTCTGGGTCGAGATGGATTTTTCTTTTTTCTTAAAGATTTTATTTATTTATTGGAGAGCGAATGAGAGAGAGAGAAAGCATGAGAGGGTCAGAGGGAGAAGCCCGCGATGCGGGATTCGATCCTGGGATTCCAGAATCATGACCTGAGCTGAAGGCAGTTGCTTAACCAACTGAGCCACCCAAGTGCCCAAGATGGATTTTTCTTTAAACCAAAATGAATTAACCTACACTAGCGTCTTTCTAGAAATCTGGATCTCAACATTCACAAAAATACCACATTACTCATTTAGAATTATGCCTAAAGTGACATTGTTAAGCTCTTATCCTTGTGTTCTCTCCGTTTAGTTGTTTTTGGTTGTTGACATCAGTGCAGCACCCCTTAGATGGGCCTCTTAATATAACGTGAGTTGTATTTGGCTGGAATGATCCTCCTCACCCAGGCCTGGTAAGTCATAGTTCATTTCTGGCATTAGAATCACAGCAGATTCCTAGCAATTTGGTTGAGAATGAACCTGGAAACTAGATCACATAGAGATGTGTTAAAAATAAACAAAACTTTTTTGTAAGTTGGGGTGCCTGGGTGGCTCAGTTGGTTAAGCGTCCAACTTTTGATTTCAGCTCAGGTTGTGATCTCAGGGTTGTGAGATGGAGCCCCGTGTTGGGCTCTGGGCTGGGCACTGAGCCTACATAAGATTCTCTCCCTCTCCCTCTTCCCCTGCCCTCCCTCCGCCACCCCGTTCTTTCTCTCAAAAAAAAGATAAAACTTTCTTGTAAGTTGACTCTTGTCATCCTGCCATCCCAGCCTGGCTCTGCTTTCCTTCTGTCCTCCCAGCCCACACTTCACACTGAGTGAGCCTCGTGGCGCATGCTCACAGCCATGCTCTTGTCTCCATGACCTCACCTCCCTTTATTTAAACTGGCCTTGGGACCGTTTATGCTTCCATTTTGTAATTGTTTCTAATTAGAATGGATCTGAACAGACTCTTCAAAATCTTTCCCTTCTGCTCCTCTGTATCTCTTACCATTCCTTGACATGTATCATTCTCTCTGGTCCTAACCCAGAACCGTTTCATGCTTTTCTTCCTCCAGGAGCTCATTGGTGCTGTTTTTCTCTACCTGAACTGCTCATTTTCATCCATCCAACATCCATTCATTTTTAGAAGTTCAGCTTACATTTTTCTTTCCCTGGGGAATCTGACCTAATAGACTGTCATTTCGAGTCCCCTGCGAATAGAGGGACTGAATTGACATCCACGCTTGCTGTCTCTGTCAGAACATGCCATCCTGGAGAGCAGAGGCCCCGCCGTGAGTCCCTGGGCCTAAAACAATACCTGCCACTTGCAGACATTCAAGAAACTGGCCAACCTGACTGATAAGGAATCCGGTGGCCGTGGAGGAGATGATTCCTGCGATGAGCCCAAATCCCCTTGAGATTCCCATGAGGAAGCTTGCATACCTGTGGGCCGAAGATTTTACAGATGATTTTATGTAGAAAGCTATCTGGGGCTTTTCAGCAACTCAACTTTAATGCAGTTCAATTATAATAGCAAAGTTATTTTGCCCAATGCAGTGTTTCGTTTACCTAAAGACGTTCGGGGTAATGCCTGTTTGCCAACCCTGAAATCACCTCTCTGCCAAGTCAACAACCAGGGGCCACTTCAGTCTCTGGGGAGCCCAGGATCCACCTGCCACCCCCATCCCAAGGCTGCTCAGCAAGACAGGCAGTGCATGCAGTGCCCAGGACCGCAGACTCCAAACAAACTGCCTGGGGCCAAAGCCTGGCTCTGCCTTTGTGTGACCTCAGTCCTGTCACTTCACCTTGGCGTGACTCAGTCTTCTCCCCTTTAGAGTGAGGATAACAATTGGACCTACCTCATGCAGTTGTGAGGATTAGATGTGTTAATATTCGCCTATCAAGTAGGGTTTGGCTCATGGCGAGTGCATACATATGTGGGAGCTGATATTATCAACACTCTGGAAGCTTTTCCAAAACACACGTGTGTGGGCCCTTTCCCAGAGCATACAGTTCCGTCTCTGGTGGGGAGGCTTGGAACGCTTTTCATCTAAATGATTACTGGCCGAGATTGGGAACTGTTGTCCTTAAAATGCCATAATAGGTCATGGCCACGTACTGACGTTTCTAGTTATTTGTCATTATTGTACTATCATTTTGTGCATGTCATAACATGAAAGAGTTGCAAGAAAAAGGCTGAGGCCTAACACCTCCGAAAGGGCCCGGGTGAGGGGAACAAATGGAGAAAGGTCTTACCTGGGGGCGACATCTAAGGTGTTGATGATGAACCCCGAATCACACAGGTTGCTGGTTCCAGGAATGAGTATCAGCAAAATAATGGTTGTCACGTAACTAGAAGCCACAAAGGGCAAGGCCATGGCACATAGCGATGGAAGGAGGAGCCCTGGGCAATGAGACGCACCATCAGGCCCCCTCTCAGACCAGGTGTGGGAAAAGGGATTAGTTAAGCAAGCCCATGCACCTATCCTTACCTAGGGATGAGAAGAGTTTTCGTACAGTGATTAATCTGAGAAGGTTCCTGGACAGGAGGAAATCTGCCAACTGGCCTCCTAGAATCGTACAACTCGAAGCAGCAATGAAGGGCAGGGAGGACAGAACCCCACTCTGCAGGAAGGAAACATGTACGATGAGTGCAGATGTGCAGATGGCCCCAATGCTTATCAGTTCCACAGACAACTGTTAGCCACCCCCGGATATACTGAGTGGTTTTTAGGAAGTTAAAAGTTCTTATTTTCCACAGAAGAAGAACACCGCCTCAGGTAAGAGGGCCAGTTACATGGCATTACACTGGTCTCAGGGAGGAAAGTGCTATTAATCTCTAAGGGACACTGAAGAATCGGCTGGTATGGTGGCGTTGTTCAGTGGTTGAGGACTCAGCTCTTGCAGCTGCTGGGCCACTCAGGGGTTGTGCAATCCAAGGCACATCAGCTGACCTCACATGTCCCCAGGTCCATGCCTGGACAATAGGAATCATTACATGCCTTCCTCAAGGTCATTGTGAAGGTTAAGTGAGTGGTTATGTGCAAGGCCAGAGTGCAGTAGGCATCGTGGAACTATTTCTCCTTATTGCCATTATCGTTTCCATAGAAGCACCGGAAGGATACTCACATCTCTGATGTTCACGTGGAGCACAGAGCTGATGTACGTCGGCAGGTATGTTATGATTATGGTGCATAACCAGAAATGGCTGAAAAACCCCGTGAAAATGGCCCAAAGTGGTAGGCATCTGACCATAGCCTTTATGGGGACAGATCGTCTGGGAGAACTGGACTGAAAGGAAATATCTAATCAACGTGGGGTTAGAACAGGCGTGCGGGTGCCTCTCCCATGAGCCCCACACCCTGCCGTAGGGGCCTCCGCATGGTCCACAGGTAGGAGGGATGCACCATACCTGTTGAGCCAGTGAGGCCACAATGTAGTCCTTTTCCCGGACGCTTATGCATGGGTGATGCATGGGGTCATCATAAATCACCGTGAACCACAAGAGACAGCAGACACAGCCAATGCTACCTGGGAAGCCGGGACCCCGTTAATTTTGGGGTAGATTTCTGTGCTGGGAGAAGGGAGTTTCCTCTGATGTGGCCCACATCCCCCTCAAAACACACCTATCAATTCATGGTTATTCCATCATAAGGAACTAAACTTGCCTGCTTCTTTATTTCAATTCTTTTACAAATCTCTGTTTTTTAAAAAAGATTTATTTATTTATTTGAGAGAGAGAGAGAGAGAGAGAGACAGCACAAGCAGGAGGGGCAGAGGGAGAGGGAGAGAGAATCTCAAGTGGACTCCTTGCTAAGCACAGAGCCCAATGTGGGGTTTGATCCCAGGACCCTGAGATCATGACCTGAGCCAAAACCAAGAGTCAGACACTTAACAGACTGCACCACCCAGGTGCTTCTACAAATCTCCTTTTTTTTTTTTTTTTTTTAAGATTTTATTTATTTATTTGAGAGAGAGAGAATGAGAGACAGAGAGCACGAGAGGGAAGAGGGTCAGAGGGAGAAGCAGACCCCCAGCCGAGCAGGGAGCCCGATGCGGGACTCGATCCTAGGACTCCAGGATCATGACCTGAGCTGAAGGCAGTTGCTTAACCAACTGAGCCACCCAGGCGCCCCTACAAATCTCCTTTTAAAAGCTCTCCAGATACCACCTCTCAAATTTAGAGTGCCATTTGTCAACGTCAGAGCCCTTTGGAGAGAACTGAGCATGAATGTACCATTGCATAGCTGGTTAATTACTCTTAGGACTCCAGTGGTTTATAGTGTTATGTGTCATTAACAGCAATTTCTTATTACACACGTTACTGTCTTATTTTGGAAGATCTGAGTAGTCAGGATTGGAGAACATAGGAGTCATACACACACGAAACAACCTGCCAGAAAATCAGTGTGGCAAAGCAAAATTTCCAGCACATTTGCAAAAGACAATGTTATTTGTATTCAAACAATACGTTCATTATGAATTTCCAGAAGAAATATTTCTTGACAATACCTGATTAACACGTGTGGACCAAAGATGACCTGGGATTAACATCATTAATGAGAGAGCCATACAAGCCAGAACCATATTGAATGACATCATTTGGTTATAACAATAGAACAGAAATGTGTCTCATTGCTGAGATCTGTCATTTGAAGAAGGTAAAAGACTGCATCTGATGTGATAAGCCCCGGAAGTTTCCCTAGGGAAGGATGCATTTTTTTTTAAGTAGGTTCCACAACCAGTGTGGAGCCCAGTGAGGGGCTCAAACTCACGACCATGAGATCAAGATCTGAGCCAAGAACAAGAGTCAGACAATTAACCAACTGAGCCACCCAGGCACCCCTGGAAGGGTGCATTTAAACGAGCTTTGCAAGACTTGCCTGGTAGAGCATAGGTTAAGGGCATCTTGGCAGAAATAATAATTACAATAAAATATGAAGGCATGTTTAAGGTGTATTCCAGCAACTTTTGGTGACACTGACATTTTAACCACAAGGCAACTAGACCTGGCATTTCAGATGTGGTGGTGGAGATTCTACAGAAGATGCCTGGGGTGGGAGGGGAAGGCTGCATTCCCAGTTCCTCAAATGTCAACACCACACAGAGTCATCTCCTAGATTGGAGGGAGGGAGCTACCAATCTTCAACGTTCTCTCTCACATGGGAATGGGTGACAGGTAATGTGGGCATCCAACCAAACGGCTGGCAAACAGAGGGCTTGGGATTCAGGGGAAAATGACTCACCAAAGATGTAGAAGATAAAAGGCCAGCCCAAGGCCTGTGAGATTAGTCCCCCCACGCAGAGGATGATGAAGGACCCAAACGCTGCCCCTGAAGAGAAGAGGGACAAAGAAGGCACGTTATGAAGACAGCAAAGGGCTGAGATTGAGTGGCCTCCCTGGACATTGTCCCAACAGAGTGGAGGCAAACGTAGAATTACTGAGTGAGGAGAGTATTTCTTCCTGTTCACAGATCTCCCCTAGTAACATCATGTGAAGTACTTAGAATTGATAAACAAGAATGGTATGCCTCCTGACACTTCAAGAGCTCCTTAACACCAATGAGCCCAGTACAAATCCCTTAGTTTGTCATAGAAACTCTGCAATCATAGCCCACCAGTGTTTCCTTAGAATCAGAGTTGCATTCTGGCAGGGTGCAATATGAGGTTGAGGACAGGAAAGAAAAGTCTTACACAGATTAATAAGATACAGTCTCTGACCTCAAGGAGACTTCAGTCCAGCTGGAGAGAAAAGCATGAGCCAAATTCACTATTAGAAATATAATATAGTGTAGACTTTGGAATTTGAACATATTTAACAGAAATCCACAATAAGAAACGCATTTTACGTGGCGACACTAAACATACACAAATACATACACATGCATAAAACTCAAACAAAAGTTTCATGAGTCAATACTTAGACTCACCATGTGTAATGCACTCCAACATTTTCTGTTCTATTCTGTTTTGTTTTAAATACTGGTTTTGACCCACTACATTAATTTTATGACCCATGAATGGGTCTTAATCTGCACTTCGGGGGAAAAGAGGGATGTGGAATACAGCTACAATAATCAACTATAGTATGCTATGGATGTATACAAGAGGAGAGTGTTGAAGTTGACAATGAGGCTTACAAATTGTTTACATGAGCTAAGCAGTGAAATGGATGGATTTTGGGTAAAAGAAGCTAGGAGTAGAGGACCTTCCAGGAAAATGGGCCAGGATAGTAGAGCCAGAGAGAAGGTAAGTGCAGATTGTAGGTGGTGTGACGTGAGCCTTGCTTACAGAGGGGTGCTGAGTGGCAAAGCAGACTGGGACCATATAGCAGCCGATCTTTGTATCCACGCAATAAGGAGATCCATTTTTGTCTGCAGTCATGGAGGAACGCATTGAAGTCCAAGCAAGTGAGCAAAGATGCCTTATCTGTGCTTTAAGGAGGTAACTTGGCTTTGATGGGAAGAGAAGTCTGCAGGGAACAAAGCTGAGGAGAGAGAAGACTAGCTGAGAGTGATGTGGTTTTGGAATATAGGTGAGGTTCGGTGGGGTGAGGTCTGGAGCCGACGACCAACAAAGAATTCTTGAGACGTCTTTGGTGCAAAATGGTGGTTTAATAAAGCCTGGGGACAGGACCCATGGGCAGGAAGAGCTGCTGCCCCGGGGTTGGGAGGGGAGGCTGATTATATACTGTGGGGCTGGGGGAGGTGAGGCAAAGGGAGGTTTTCAAAAGGACTTTCATATGCTAAAGAGGACCAACCAGATACCAGAGACCTTGCCATTGTCAAGTCAAGGTTGTTTTTCCTCCTCTAGCAAGGCGTTAACATTAAGATAGTTGGGGGCTTCCTGGAAGAATATCACACATATCCCACACAGGAGTGGGAGTTGTGGGCTGTCAGCTTGTGCTTTGTCCTCCGCTAGCCTTCTGCTCCCTCATCAAGAGCATTTATAGATAGAGAAGACAGGACAACTGCAATGGAAGGAGCCAGAACGCAGGAGGGTTGCTTTGGAGTAAAAAGCATCTGTAGGATGCAGCTGTACATTGGGAGCTGGGAGTGAGAGGCTTGAGGGAACCTCACTTCTATTCTGCAAGTATACACTTCCAGTGCTACCAGTTGGGGCAAATGGCAGTGATAAAATCATTTAAGTCCTTGGTGTGATCTGATCACATGCCCTGGAGAGGCAGACGGCGGGGCAACTGAGAGTGCGCTCTGGGGTCAAACTGCCTAGGCTCAGATCTCAGCTCTGTCACAGGCTGGCTATTGGTATTTGGGCAATTTACTTAATTTCTGCATATGTTAATTCCCTCCTTTGTAAAATGAGAGTTTAAAAATTGTTAATTATCAGAGAGGTGCTGTGAAGATTAGCTCAGAAATCACGTGGGCTCTTTAAACTCAACTTTCCAGCCTGATTTCTCTCCTTACCACTGTGAAATCTGATAGTCTTAATTCTCACGTGTATATCTTTGCCAAAATAGTGTTTATACACCATGGGTAAATATTATATAAGCTTACTTGATCTTTTTTTTAAAAGACTTTATTTATTTGAGAGAGAGAGTGTGAGCATGAAGGGGCCAGGGGCAGAGAGAAAGACTTCCCAATGAGCAGAGATCCCTTCAGGGGACTCAATCCCAGGACCCTAAGATCATAACCTGAGCCAAAGGCAGATGCTTAACCATCTCAGCCACCCAGGCGCCCCTAAGTTTACTTGATCTTTTTGCATTTATGCCGATTTAAGTTACAGACATTTTCTGACAATGCTTTGCTGACTACCCAAGCTCACAGTGGCCTCTTGCTTCTGAGCCTTAGTAGATATATGGCACTGACGTATCTTTCTTTCTCTCACAGGTGTTATGTAACTGTCTCACATTGTCAAATTTCTGGGTAACACTTTCTCCCTCTCCCCCCAAAACATCCCATGCAGAGAAGGGAAGATGCGTCGTCGTCTGGGGGCAAAGCAGATTACAAAGCTGTCATCCATATGCACATCCTTACCTGAGCCCGCAATGCTGGTGAGCTTGCTTCGTTCAAGTGGGGGAGCCCACTTGGCCCAAATTGTAAACTGACCTGTCCATGCCATTCCCTGAAAGGAAAATCATTAAGACCTTTGATCTCCAGTAGAATTAGGGCACCTGTATCCCACTCAGAATGAGAAAGTAGCTGGATACCTGGGCCATGCCCTGGATTGTCCGAATCACAATAACCAAAATCACTCCGAAGTCAGCAGCCAACGGCGTAAAGAGGGTGAGAAGAGAGGAGATCAGCAGACCAGCACCAAGCATCTGCTTTGCTCGAAATATCCCTGCTAAATATCCACTTGGGATCAGAGTCACTATTATCCCATAGCTGATGGAGCTAAAGATGATACCCTGAGTCTCTGGGCTCCATTCATATACAGAGGCCTGGTGGGGGGTGGAGGGGAAGAAAGAAAATTATTTGCTAAGAAGTTCTGTTATGAAAATCTACTTTAAAACCAGAGCTGCTTAGGGTTGGTGGGATTCTAGTATAAAATCCACTTTTCGGTATTTTTTTTTTGTTTTTTTAAAAGATCTTACTTATTTTCTTTAAAATTTTTTTTAATTTAAGTTCAACTTAATTAACAAATTGTGTATTGTTAGTTTCAGAGATAATTTAGTGATTCATCAGTTGTATTTTTTACAGAACAGATATCCCACCTCTTCCAAACAAACAACCAATTATACCCCTAATCTGCTCCTTTCAGAGGGGGAGTAAAATCAAAAGAAATGAAGAAGGAAAGAGATAAAGAAATGAATACACGATAGGAAGATATTAAATGAAAAAAGGCCATTGAGAGATATTTCATCTGAAAAAGAGCTTCCTTTAAATATTTGCTTCTGAGAAAAGTTAGGGGACATGTTGACTCTCATTTCAAAAATTAAAAAAACACAACTTTACTGACCTCTCATCAAAATTAGTCCTTAAAATCAAGTTTAGGAATTATGGTCTGCCTTGGCAGAGATGACTTCCTAAAACACATATTGCATATTAATAAGATCACATTCTTCTCATGATGTAAGCCAATAAATAATTTTTGGTAGCCTACTAGATATGTGGCATCATGCTATAAACTGAAGTAAAGAAGCAAAAATACATACATATATATATAATATGAACTATTTTTATCCATTTATAATAATTATAAATAATGCAAGATATATGATTCAGGTGAGAATTCAAGTTTGAGGATAAACATCAGTAAAATAGGGACTTTGAGAAGAGGGAAGAACAATTTGCAAAGATCCCAGGAAGGAAGCAATACTTGATCCATCCTTTGAAGAATGACGATGATTTGCACAAAGAGAAATAGGAAGATTCATTTTTATTGAAGAGCAAAAGTGAACTTGTAGCATTTGAAATGATACCAGATGAAGAGAAACTAACCAGGGCTCTGCTTTACTCAGAACCTGGGCCACTGAGAGCAGATCTGAATGTGCTGAGAAGTGGGGCCAGATTTTGGAGGAGCAAGCGTGTCAAGAGAGAAGTTTGGCAACTTGAAGGTATCCTGGAATCTTGAGCATGAGAATATGAATGTGTAGGATGAATTATGGAGAAAAGACTGGAGGCAGAGAGGTTATTATAAATAAGCTGGGGCCAAGGTAATAAAGTCATGAAATACAAGGGTGACATTAGGAATGTACAGTAAATGATAGTTTAAAGAGAAAATTTAAAAATAAGGTGTAATCATAATTCTCATACAATATTGTGATAAAGATTTTATTTAACTCATTGATTAATAAGGGAATTGGTAAGATGTTACAACTGGCCCAAAGAGAATTCAAAGACCCATAAGTAGGAAGTAATACTGAATTAGATTTTAAATATATGGCAAAATTGGCTTATTCAACTGAGTGGCGAGTGAGGAGAGTATCAATGGATTTTCCACAGGACAAAATTCATTTGCAGAGCCATGGCAAAAATCCCTTGCATTGCTATTTGTTATATAGAACTTCCAGAGTTGCAGAATGGCCCCAAGACAAGGAAAGGTGCAGAGATCTACATAGAATCTGGCAGAAGGATGTGCTCTGTGCCAAGTTTTTCATGGAAGACACCTAGTATTCTGTTTCTTTGTGGAAGTTTTCACAATTTTTTCTATAGTTCCCCCCGCCTTATAATCATAACAATCTCAATGAAGGATTATTTTTATCACAGAGGTAAGAAATCTCTCAAAAACAAAATTCCAGTCTTTTTTCGGTTGGTCATTGAAAATTCATGCTTCTATGCTTCACAGAATCAAGATCCTTCCCTTCAAACTGGGTTTTCCCTCTCGACAAAGAGCCTCATTCTCCATGATACTTACCCCTGTATTAAATTCCTTCATGGATCTGCTGGGGTTGTTGAGAGTGTCTGCAGGAGGTCTTTCTGTGGAGGCATTGGGCAGACCATGCTGCTGAGTGCTGTTCACCATGGCAATGATTGCAATGCTTAGACTCACACGCTGGGTTATCATGGTGAAATTTGAGAAGTGCATGATGAGAGCCAGTCCATAGCGTAAGGAACAGAAATCTGGACCTAGAGGACAATATGGAAGCACACAATGAACATCCTGACTGAGGCCACCATCTTTCCACGTGTCCCATGGCTAAATCTGAAAAAAACATCAGAGACCTCACTCAGCCCCACGGCCTTTTTTCACTGAAATAACCACGACTACATACAACGTTCCTTTGCCATATTCTTTAGTTCGCTGGAAGAGAATCAATTTGGGATCTTACAGTCAAGTAAAGCAAATATGGCCTTTTTTCCCAGAGGTATGGGAAGCAGATGGTAACTACAGGAAAACCGAAGTGAAGGCATTTAGATCACATTGTCCCAAAATAAACTGAATGGGGGAGACGGTGGCAGAGCCGGTGATAAAACCCAAGTCACCCAGCGGCAAGTCAGAAGTCCTGTCTGTTCTGCATATTCATTCACCATAAAGCTTGGAAGTTTATACTTAGAGAACTGCTGTTGCAGGAAGCTAACCAAACCTCCAAGGATTCTCTTTGAAATATTTGAGAGACAGTGTGTGTAGATGAGCACCTCCACTGATTCCTTGGTCTGATGTTCACTTGGAAACATTTTTGTTGGGTGTCACTAGACCTGACTGCATATGCATTTAGCTCTTAAAAAACTAATGCGGAGAACCATCTTTACTGAGTTTGCAGGTGATACAGTGCTGGACAATCATTCCATATGTTACAAGAACAACACATTTTCTTTAAAGATTTATTTATTTATTTGAGAGAGAAAGGGCAGAGGGAGAAGGAGAGAGAGAAGACTCAAGCAGACTCCCTGCTGAGCGTGGAGCCCGACACAGGGCTCGATCTCAGGACCCTGAGCTGAAATCAAGAGTCAGCCACCTAACCAACTGAGCCACTCAGGTGTCTCCAAGAAGAACGCATTTTTTGAAAAGTCCCACAAAGTGGAACAATGGACCAATATTGCAAGGGTTCCCAAGTGAATGATGGATTCGATTTTTTTTCTGTGAATTTGGAGAACTAGAACTAAGGAGAAATAAAGAGAGGACCTGTGAACAAGCAGATAAAAATATAATGAAAGAAATAATTTTTAATGGCCAAATAGGCTCAATGATAGGATTATTTGCCTGCAAAAGAGTTATTCCTATGCTCCTGGAGGATTCCAAGCTCTGGGAAATAGCCAGCCACTTGGCAATAACACTATAGAAGAATTCATACATAGGTTGTTTAAAATGACTTTTTCAAGATTTATTCCATTCCTTATGTCCTAGTATTTATTGGTCATTTGGCTTGATTTCTGATAAGTAACTCAGTGGGGCTCCCTAAACAAAAAAACAACAGGTAACAGAATGAGGGGCTGGAGCTAGTACAATGTTCTATTGAGTCTTTGAGTCTTTATAACAGGTGACATGATTAAAAAAAAAAAAATTCGGAGGAGAAAGCAAGGAAAAGAACAGCGCTGGAGATGAGTGCCCACTCTTCCATGAAGTGCCTGCAAACCAGAGGGGAGGGTTTACCTTTCCTGGTGGAAGACTTCTTGTCCATTTGGCTTCTTTGGGAAATAGTGGCACAGTGTATGAACTTTCCCTCTGCCCTGAATCTCTTTCACCACGACTGGGTTTTATCTATGGGATGAACAACAGTCCAAAACAAGACACACAAATAACTTTTCATGTGAATGTGGCCTTCTCTGAGCATCAAAGTTTTGATCCAACACAGCTATGCGATTTACATTTTGCAGTACACTCTTGTTAAGCTAACGGAGGACTCGGTTTTTATAAGAAAATCGGGCTCTGTGACTTAGAACTGGTTGTTTAAATTCTGCAACTATCCCTTCGCTCATCTGTTCAGTAAGAATCAGCCTCTTTCTGAGTCCTGCCCCAAGAATTGAATGAGAAACTTGCAAACCGCAGAGAACTGTGCAAAGGCGAGGAATACTGTGGCTGCGGGTGGATCAGAGGACAGGAAAGTTAAATAAGCTCGGGAGCTGACAAGAAAGTTCCAGAACACCCTTGCTTTCCTTATGACCGTGTTTCTGTTCCTTCTGGACAACCAGAACAATGCCACATTGGGTCTTCTCTGAACAAGAAGGATGACATTGCGTAACACTTAGGTATACTCATTTGAGGCTCAGAAATGTTTCCTGCTGTCTTTGCTACACACAAATTGGACACTTAATAGGACTGAAAAGTTCTTCAGACCATCTGTAAAATCACAGAGTGGGACTTTCTACTACAATTACAAATAAACCCAGTTCTTTTGACAGAAAAAGCGAATTCATGATCCCCAAGTGGACGTGTTTAACTTGATATTTGTATACCGGCCGAACTCTCTTTGCGGATACATACACTTACTTCTTTTAGGAACAATCCTTATCCTCAGAATACTGTCAGTTTTGCAGCTGTCCCTAAACTGAAGCCTCCATGACTTTATAAATACATGTATCATGCTTATATTTCATCACCCAGAACTTTGCCTTCTTTCTGCACATCAACTTAACAAGAATTATCTGCACCCTTAGGGATGTTCATATTCCATGACTTTAGGACAGAGGCTCATAAGGAACGGTAAGATGAAGAGTTTTGTCCAAAAAATTCTTTGCAGGATTAGTTATTACAGCATAATATTGGAGACAAATTAACCTAACCAAAAGGTTTTTAGTGAGTCAACTTTAATAGATTCTTATGATGGACTTTCTTAAAATAACATCCCCAAGATGTTGACGGCTGTGAGGGAAAGGCGGGTACTCTCGAGTACGGAGCAGTGGCCGTGCCCGTGTTGATTCCTGCACATGCACAGAAAAAGAAAAAGATTCACACAAGTACCAGCCAGGGCTAATTCTGGGTTGTAGAACACGGTGCTCACATTATTCTTTACGATTTTCCAGATCCACCTAGTGATTTTTTTTTTTTTTCCAAATCACAGATACTCATTTTATACCCGGAGGAATCTAATTGAAAAAATGGTAATTAGGCTTCGTTAGCATAGACAGGATAGCCTTCTGCTTGCCAAAGTTTCTAGAATTCTAAGAATAAGATCTCCCCCTCGAAGTTTTGAAATTTTCTCATTTGTTTACCCTGACCTAAATAGATGCGCAGTGCCTAAACCAGACAAGGTCAGCACCAGGAAACATGTTGGCTTTTGTCCCGCTGTGGAAGGCTTTCAAGTCTTGCTAACATCTGGATGGTGTCAGAAGCCCAGTTCAGTGCTTTTCACTCAGATCCTAGCTGAAGCACAATGGAAAGGACACCTCGTTTACCTGGAGTTTGGACCACTCTCTAGCTGATTTACCTTGTTAGGTAAATTCCCAAGACTTGCCTAAAGGGAACTTCCTTGCTGTACATGTGACTACTAGTGTCCATACTCCCCTGAAAGCTTTCCCACCAACCTCACCAATCAGTCTGAAGTCCAGAGCTGAAAGACACTCCAGAGATCCTCTGGCCCAACTGTTCATTTTGCTGGTGAGAAAATCGGTGTGCAGGACGTCTGAGAGGTTGACTCCCAGTCACATGGTTTACAGAGCCAGCACCAGCTCTCCGGATGGCCAGACTGTTACTTATCCTATCTGTAAATACACTTTCCCTTTATGTTCCTGTTTTAAGCTCAGCTTAGAACACAATAGGGTAGCTTCATTTTGAGGTATTCTACAGAAGAATTCATATGGCTTTAAATGGTTTTAAACATTTATTCCAGAAGGAAATTTGATGATGAAAATACTTTCAAGTGGAGCTTTGAATATTGAAGAGAAGAAAAATGACTAGCTTTTCTTGCTTTTTGCTTGTTTGTTTGTTTGCTAGTGGAATTGTATCACAGACCTGTCACTTCAGCTGTCCTCCTTCCACTTGTTGCCATCCCTACCTTAGTTTTCATGATTTCACATACTGTTTTGAATTTTGTCTCAATAGCTGATTTCACTTATTAATTTCCTATTTCCTTTGCATGGGACAAAGAGAGAAATTGGGCAGACATCCCAAACTACTCTACACTAGGGTCTCTCAGTGATGTAATAATGAAAACTACTTTCCCAAAATAATCACAGAAGCATATGAAATGCTGGGGTCTGAGCCTTATCATGACTGATATGAACTCAGAGACAGTGGGTTGAGTCTTAGTCCAGTTGTAAACAGTTAAGGACCTTCCCATTCAGGAGTGACGCTTCTAAAAACTAGTGAGTCCTAGCACCAAAGCTCTAAGTAAATATAGAAAAATTGAATAGACAGTAAACGAAAGTTCTTCCTTTTAAAAATAATTTGATGATACAGTATAGAGTTGTAGTTGATATAAATTAATAATGTCAACAATATAGTTTATGCAGAAGCAAAAGAGCAGTCTTTTTTCCTATTTGTTTCAGTCTGGAACCCACTATTTTGTTAGAGTAGTCTTTTTATTGCTTTTAGATTTCCCCTAATCCTCAGCCTGTCTTGCATCATCTCTGTTAGTCGAGTCCCCCAGTTTACTCAGAGTAAATGTTACATGTGGTTGAAGAGTATGAACCTGTAGTTCAAAGGGTATCCAGGGACCAAGCTCTTCTGTGCCATTTACAATCTGGGTAAACCAGATTGTGCATTTTTCATAAGCTACCAGAGCTTTAATTGAACAGGAAATAGAAAAAAAAAAAAGAGGTAATATGGGGATGATATTACTTCACGGGACAGTTGTGAGTGGAAAAAAAATGGTTTGAGGCATGTCTTCTAAATGTAAAGTATGCATTGTAAACTGTTACTAATAATCAACACTCACAAGATTGACACTCGGGCCCTCTCAGGTTAATAAGTACAGATTTAGAGCAGATAAAATACATTTCTCTGGAAGTGCTTTTGATTGATTGTTAAATTGGTTTTAAACATGTCCTTTTAAAAGAAGGTTCTTCTGAACTAGAATCCACGAGATGGGGGAAGAAGGGATGCATCTTGCTACAGACATCAGAGAACATGCGAAGAAGCAATGTTTTCAATGTTAGTAAAACTGAGGCCCCTTTTTATCACCTGCCTACCTTTCTGAAAGATTCTACCTTTATTTCTGCCTACCGTGCTGAAATAAAACTTGTTATTCCAATAGGTCCTTTAAGTCATGCTGTCAATTCACTTATGGATTTAATCATGAAAAAAGAAAAAGAAAAAGTGTATCAAGCACCAATTGTGGGTGATCCTAGAAAGCAGGGTAAGGCCCAAATCAGGGGCAACTGGGTCACTGCCTTGGGGGACTCACAGCTCAGCTCACCAGGAGATCCGCAGGAGTGCCTGTGCTCCTTTCTTCCAAGAGACAACCTCAGGCTTGTCTTTCAGGCCTGTACGAGCCCAACTGTGCTTTGGACCAGGGATCTTCTCTGGCAGATTGGGAGAAGGCACCTTCACTGAGTTTGCGCCTAGGGCTTCCTGCCATAGCACCATAATCATAATCTCTCTGGGCACCTTTCCTGAGCTGTCCGATGAGGGCAACTAACTAGGTGAGCTCTACAAGCATACAGGTGTTCTTGCCTTTAATCTTATTCACAACTTCATATTCTCCTTTTTTGAGAGACAATCTCAAATATACATAGAAATCTGAAAAGACTCATTTGCCACAGTCCCCAAGCCCAAACCTGGTTAGTTCTGATCCAGTATTTTATCCCACAGTGAAACCCATCCAACTCATCAAGGTGTCACAGCTAATACGGAATCCTCAGAGAATTGCCCAGTGTCCATTGGCCCTGGTGGCCTTTCAAGCCTTGTTCAATTGAATCGATTGAATCGATTGCATGCTTTAGAAAGTCTCTTCTTCATTTTGGAAACAGAAACCATTCCCAGGTGGGAATCCTTAGGCTGCTGTTAACGGTTTTCCTCTGACTTCCCCTCAAACTGTTCCCTCCCTTTAATGGATCTCTGATTGATTAGTAATTATCCTCTGACCCAAAAAGAAGAAAAGCACTTACCTTCACCATTAAACCAGTATTTTAAGCCCTAGACTATAAGGCTCCCTGAAGAAGTTTCTATCTTTTCCTCCCTTTCAAATAATTCCACAGAGTTTCACAAGGATAAGTAATGAGCCCCGTGGCAGTCAGACAGCATCAGGTCTGGCCTACATCCTCAGAGCAGAACACCTGAGTCTGACTCTGCTGCTTAATTTTTAACTTCATTTTCAAGTTCTCACTGATAAAATGAGTATCTCAAAAGGTGACATCATGTTTTTCTGCTTTGAACTGTGCATACAACCAAAAAAGTCAACAAACATTTTTCCTGAAAGGAAGGTGGCATGGTTTGGATGAAAGAACAAGGCTCCTGGGATGGGAGAGATGAGGTGAACCCCACCTTCACTTCCTAGTGTTTTCTGTGACCTTGGACAAGTCACTTAATTAACCTCTGTGAATTTCATTAGTAAAGCAAGGGTTATAACACCCAACTCATGGGGTTATTATGCAAATTAAATGAAATGCTTATGCTAACTGGTAGTCAGTTGTCAATAAATGAGATGTTTCCACTAAGGGATTCTGCTAAGTCATCTAGACTTTCCTTAAGCTTTTGGTGCCCATTTTCTAATAAACTTTGGCTAATCCGATATCCTTTCAT